AGGAAACGATATTGGACAAATTTCTTATTTCAGTGATTGATGAGTTGTTGGATAAGCTTTATAGAACAGTCATCTTCTCAAAAATCAATCTGAATTTTGACTATCATCAGATCAAGAAAATTTCAGTCGATGTGTACTAGATAGCGTTCTATACTCATGAAAGACATTACGTGTTTTTGGTGATATCATTCGGTCTTACCAATGCGTCTGTCACATTTCAATCTCTCGTGAATAGAATTTTTTAGTCTTACCTTAGGAAGTTCATCCTGATATATTTTTATGACATCCCGATCTACAGTTGTACTAAGTTAAAGCATAAGACACTTGAGAACAGTATTGGAGACGTTGAGAGAGCGTCAAATGTACGCCAACTTGAAGAAATATTCCTTTGTACAGTTACAGGTGGAGTACCCAAGGCATGTGGTGACCGAGGAAGGGGTAGTAGCGGATCAATCCAAGATCGACGCTATGTTGGACAGGCCTCTGCCGAGGAGCATGAAAGAGTCGGGATCTTAGGTCTAATCGAGTACTACTCAAAATTCGTGAGTGTATGACATGATAGCATAACAAAAGGCAGTTTCGAGTGGGGGGAATCAACAACACAGGCCTTCAAACAGCTGAAAAGAGTCATGACAAACGTTCTGGTATTAGCATTTCCAAACTTTAGTTAGCTATTCATAGTAGAGATGGATGCGCCAAGGTATGGATTGGGGGAGCTGCTCATGCAGGATCAGTGGCATTTCCAAACCAAGTGCTCACAATAAGGGTGAGGCTCAAGTCCATGTACGAGCAAAAAATGATGGCTATTGTCTTGGTTATTTATAAGTGGCATCCCTAATTGTTGGGGGGACACTTTATAGTAGGGACATATCAGAGGAGCTTGAAGTATCTGTTGGAGCGGAAGATAGTGATTGAGAAGCATCAGATATGATTATCCAAGTTACTTGAATATGATTTTGAGATCCAGTACATCCTGAGATTAGAGAATAAAGCCACAAATGCATTATCGATGAAGGTAAAAGAGCCTTAACCGACACATTATCGATACCCCTGCTCTTAGATTGGGAATCCTTGAGGTAGGAAAGCGAGTAGGATGAAAGACTAAGGAAGATTGAGACAGAGTTGATATATAATCTGAACAATCATCCAGACTACATATTGAGGGGACAACAACTACTCTATCAGGGATGATTCATGTTACCGAAGGCATTGAGGTACATTCCCAAATTTTTGCAAGAGTTTCACGGCAACGCAATTTCGGGGCACTAAGGGGTACAGAAGACATACAGTAGAGTACCGGCGGAGCAATATTGGGTGGGGATACATAAAAATGTAGAGGACATGATGACGGAATGCGACGTGTGCCATTTGACAGTGACACCTAAAGGGTTACTTTAGCCCTTAGCTTTACTTGAGAAGGTTTGGGAGGAGGTGACAATGGATTTTATAGAAGAGTTGCCACAATCAGAGGAATTTATGGTGATATTTGTGGTAGGGGATCATCTGAGCAATTATGCACACTTCATTTCATTATGACACCCTTACATTATTGGCTCAATCACGACATTGTTCATAAGGAAAGTGATTCATTTATATGGTATTTTGAAAACTATTGTATCATACAGGACAAGATGTTCCTGGAAGGAACTGTTTGGGTTACGAGGGATGGTCATAAAGAAGAGCACAGTATATCATCTCCTAACAGATGGCCAAACAGAGGTGCTCAATAAAAGTGTGAAGATGTACCTACATTGTTTTGTATGAGATAGGTTGAAACTTTAGGCAAAGCAGCTTGCTTGAGTTAAGTATTGGTACAACACTCTATACCTTACTGCAGCTCAGACAACTCCTTTCAGGATTTTATATGAGTGGGATCCACCTCACCTGACACACTATGGGTATAGTACTATACCAGTCTCCAATGTGGAACTGTACTAAAAAGAGATGAGGGATATTGGCAAAACATAAGGACATCTATTGAGGAACCGACAGATTATGAAGAGAATGACAGATGGACATAGCAAAGAGGTACAATTTGAGCCCATGGTCCTAGTTTATTTGAAGTCGAAACTTTATCGGCAAAAAAAATTGGTCAGAATGAGAAGTGAGAAGCTTTCCCCACGTTATCTTGGATCCTATGAGATTGTTGCACTCATTGGGACAGTGGCATATTATCTGAAGTTACCACCATCATCGTCATGGCATCCAATATTTCATGTATCACAGCTAAGGTGTGTTATCGGAGACCACACATTCTCATCTTCACTACCTCTAATGCTGAAAGAGGGCATGGAGGTGATTTTGAAACCTTTTGGAGGTAGCAGAGGTGCACACGGGAGCAAGTGGAAAAGAGTGCCAATTAACTAAAAAGATTTTTCATATTATGAAGCAGCTTGAGAACCTTATGAAGTAATCCAGAAGCAATTTTTGTCATTCCACCTGGAAGACAAGTTGCTTCTTTGGAAGAGGAGTATTGATATATCGTTCCTCCCTAGACAGGACTAGCTTTGGTCGGCCTAGCCAAACCAGCGGGTAGAGCAAGTAGGCAGATCGACCCTTCTGAGAGATATGCAACCTGCAATTCTGGCATAGAATAAATCTAACTGACGTGTGAGACCTGCAAAGCCACTAATCAAGTATGCAATGAGAGGAAAGTAAGGAAGGTTTAGGAGGAAAAGTTTGGATGTAACTTTGGGAGTATTTATTAGGGATAATTAGCTAGGGTTCTTTTTTATATTATGTTTTCCTGCAATTTTTTCCTTCGAAGTCTTGTTCCTAGCGACGCCTAGAGTTTGTGATGAGATGATCTACTTCTCAAATTATAGATCAAACTTCAATCTTATTGTTTTGCTTGGAAATCAATAAAATTAACCATAATTTGGGTTTTCTCACTTATTCTGTGTCATTTGTTCGGTGAATTTGGTTATGGTGTGTATCAGTTTCAAGCAAAAAACATCCATGATGGTCATGTTGGATGTAAATCCTAATCAAAAGTAAATATTTATATTTATAACTTAAAATATTTTAAAAAAAAATTATCACATAAAGCTAAAGAGCTAAAAAAAACATCCACCATTCAAAATCATTTATCGATGAAAAATTGAAAATAAACTTGAGCGTACTACATTAGCATTAAAAATAATATGTTTTATCAAGCATGTGACTCGAGTTCTCTATCTGTAGAGTTTGGCACAAAGGCTCCATAGATATAACTATTACGACTAGAATCTTCTGAGTTGGTGGTTTGGCTTAATAACACCACTGTATTACAGTTAAAGTTACATTCAGTATGTTCTATGATGACTTTTTACCATTTGAGTTGTAAATGATAAACTATGCCTGATAAAGGATGAAGTCTTCTATAAATTGAGATCGGCTTGAATGTCACTTAGACAAACGTCTATCCCAGCTCTACAAGATCTTCTTGGATGAAATAACTCATGATTGTTGAAAAGTTTTCGTCTGTCAAGTTAGGTTAACTCGTGGATGTAGGTGAAGATCATTGATTTGCATAAACTTGTACTTCTCGTGATTGCAATTTTTGCCTCCATATAGTTTGCTTGTTGTGCCATTACATCCTAACATTTAGAACCATCCATCACAATTCCAAACAAAAATGACAAAAAGGGCACATTATTTCCTCAATGGCTTACTAACTAAAATTACATCTCTGGTAAAGATAACACATAATGACCGGGGCTGTCAAAAAAGCTCTTTGTTCAAAAGCAGTTCATGTTCGACTCGTTAAGTAGCTTGTGCTCGACTCGTTCATTAGGTAAGCAAATCGAAAACAAACAAATTTTTTAGCTCGATTTATAAATGAGTCGAACACGAATAACAGTTTATTCATTCGTGTTTGGATCGATTTGGCTCAAATTAATTAAATAATAAATAAATAATATTTGCATAATATTTATATATCAACTTTTATATTATATTTAAAAACATTACATTTTATTAATTTTTAAATAACTTCCCCTACGATTGCAAATAAAAAATAATTTTTGTCTTAGATATGTAAATACATAAGAATTGGTTGGTATGCATGTAAATATCTCCAAGAAGTTAATTTGCTTATTCTCGTTCTATTAATTTATTTTTCCCGTTCCCCAGTCATAGGCCCGCATTAAATTAAGGGTGTTGGATATGTAAATACATATTAATTGTGTGGTATGTAAATAAATGCTGAAAACTTTGTCAAATTCTGCGCCCTCTCCATATAGTCCCACACCGTGAATAATAGAATAAAAATTTCAGTCATGCTCTTTAAAAAGTAAAAAAGGAAGCTCCATTTTATTTAATAGCCAATGTCATGTGTGATTTAAGTCACGTGAGATGTGGATGAGTAAATAAGATTTTGATTTTCTTCCCTAATAAAAAAGTTTTAAAATAAAAATATACTTTTTTTTATTTAATTATGTTATCTTATTGATTAAATTTTAATAAATTGTTATTTTGAGCCGAATAAGAGCTTAATTCAAACAAACAAGCCGAACAAGAGCTTAATTTAAACAAACAAGTTCGAATCAAGCCAAACATAAACAAACTATTTATGAGTCATTTAGAACAAGAGCCAAACAAGCCTCCATCTGGCTCATATTCGACTCTTGCACCCTAATAATGGGAAAAAAATTGCGTGCGCAGGAGTTACGTACGTAAAAGGGTATGCGGGGGTTACACGGGGGTTACAAGGGATTATAACCCTGTTGTACCTCCCGTGTAACTCTCGTATAATCCCGCTGTAATCTTGTAACCCCAATGGAGAAAATAAAAGTGCGGGTTATATGTGAGTTACACGAAAGTTAAAAGGAAGTTATAACACGCTTGTAACCCCATGTAACCCCGCCCGTGTATCATATTATGTACACATCTCTACGTACGATTGACGTACGCAATTTTTTTCCTAATAATGACGATTAACTAAATATGAACAAATACTAGGTTTGGTACAAACTTCAACTAAATAAATAATGAGTAAACCTTCTATAGATATGGCTTACATGAGATCCAACTCCAGCGTTCTGGAAAGCCTTCAAAACACGAGCAGCATTGTGAGCCACCAAATTATCAACTTGTCTGAAATCTGAATACAAGGAATCGACTGATTTTACAACCTACTCGCAAACATAGTGGAATTTAGCTTTCCAATGCTTGCTAGTGGTTAAAATGAAAAATAGAAAACAAGCAAAGCTTTATTAATGATACGACAAAAATGCTGAAGAAATCGGAAGTTCTGTCCGCAGAAATCCCCGGAAGATGAAAACACAAGGATGTAAGGGTTTAAGGGTTTACCTCGGGAACGAAAGGCTGGGCCGTGCATCCAGATGTTCGATGGAATCCAGTAATCAACACGGCAGAGCGCGAGCCGCGCCGGAGTGGGCAAACCAACGGACAACCAGCGGCGATGGAGGAAGATAAGGACATGCCTTGGTATTTGTCGCGGGACTGCAGCAGTGGGTACAATGGTCTGGTTCTGGTTTGGTTGGCGTCGACTTAAATTAAAATAAAAAAATATAGAATATTCATTTTTTTGTATTTACATATCTAAGAGTAAAGAGCTTATTTTTTATATTTAAACAGCTTAAACTCTTACATGGCATAAAAATGTTAATATTTAAAAACTCAACACGGAATATATAATTAACTTGAAGTTTGTACCAAACCTAATATTAACATTTTTATGCCATGTAAGAGTTTAAGCTGTTTAAATATAAAAAATAAGATTTATTATGTGTTTCGTGGTCTACTGGTAGTATAGCCTCTCTGAATGTCGTAAGTTTCCTTAGATCATGACTTCGAATCCCCTCATGAGTAGGGTGTGGTGCATAAATATTTAGCATACCTAGAGATGATCGAAGCTCGTCTAATAGCCTTCGGCAATTTTTTTTTCTTAAACATATACATGTGTTTCACGTACTCGGATCAATTGGTAGGGCATCTGCTTGTCAGTTGTAAGTCCCCTCTGGTCTGGAGTTTGATTTCCCTCGGTGGAAGGTGTGGTGCTCGAATTGTTATGCGCATCAGGGATGGCCGAGGCTCGTATAATAGCCTCAGATCATTCCTTTCAAATTAAGTGTACATGTATGTATGTATGTATAATTTATGATTTATTTTTTAGATTTAGCAAACAACATATTACTAATTGATGTGTGCCAGAAAATTCGCGGCGGTAGAGTAACGAATTATCGTCTCAGCGTTGTGCGAGAATTCTGCACACACTCAGATGAAAAAAAAAATCAGTGATTACTTCATAAGTTTGTTTACGTGGAAGGCCCGTAAAGGGAAAATCGCGGGGTCTGATCCATTTGTAATTATTCACTATTAATTGATAATTACAAAAATTTCTTATCCCACAAACGGGAAATGATAATTATACTTTCAAATTACAACGTTGACTGACAGCGTCTGGTTAGTGGTGATCGATGATGGTTGGCGGAGGTCGACGACGATCCGTGATGGTCTTCGGCGGTCGGCGATGTTCGACTGCGATCGACGGTGGTCGACGACGGAGGTCGGCAGTGTTCAACGATTATCGACGGTGATGTTGAAATACAGCTTCTTCTCAAGGTCTCAGACTCTCTCTCTCTAGACTTCAGCCCCCTCACGAGAGGGATGATGCTCTATTTATAATGTTCTTGGTGCAATAAATGCAGAAATATGAATCATTTTGATCGGACAATCAGGATAGTTTCCCTTGATCATACGACATTTACTAGAGATTTGTGTGTCTTAATGTTGTCAAAATGAGTGATATTGGGCTCGTTAGATTCGTCTTATCGAGTCGCTCGATTTGAGTATAAAATTGTCATATTCGACCACTCTTTAATCTTTCAAATGTGTCCGAAAATCATTTAAGTATAGTTCAATGACTTGATCTGGGTTTAATTTGACTCGGATTGGGCTGGTTTTCATATCATTAGGTCTGTCTCATCAAGCCGGTTAGTTTGACTATAAGTTTACTAAAATCAGAGCTTTGAATGACTTTTTATCAAGTGTTTCATGATTAAAATATCATCTTGAGATTCGTGTCATGCCTCGAGATTCGTGCAGGTAATGAAAATTTGTTCGTGGCATGTCACTAATATATTCATTACTCCACAAATTGACTTGTTTTCAAACTTGATCTTTCATTGTCATCAACAAAATTTTATCATTTAACATTATTTCTAGGCGTTTCGCACGAATTTAGAGATATTTAAAAAAAATTATTTCTAATTCAAATTTAATATCATTTAGAGCTTCTGTTTCAACGAGCTTATAATCAAACTGTCTGTCTCTATAAAACAAACTCAGTGATATCAAAATTTATTCAATTTGAGTCCGCTCAAGCCATAATCAAGTCATTGGGTCACATTTAGAGGTTTTTTGTAGTTAATAGAAGGGAAAATGAACTCCAAATTATATGTATATATAGTCCAATCAAGCATCTCGACGAGAAATTCAACAAGATTAAAATCACCCATTTTTTAGATCATTAATGTCATCAAATCATCAAAAAATCTTCTATGTTTAAGAGAAATCAACAAAGATCATTTGATCAAGTGGTTATTAGAGTTATTCGCGCAAATTACAAAAATGCTCCTCCATCGAGGTTGTAAATAGTCGATTAAATCTTCACTCTTAACTTGAGAGGGAATAGAAGAAAAAGTCAATTTTTAGTGTTGACTTAAACTAAATACAGGCAATAACTTCGGACATTCGCAACCACCAACCACAGTCCCGTCAGTCGCCGTCAAACACTATTGTCCCCCCTACTAGCCACCGATGGTAGACGTTGTTGAGTGATGAGTTACTATATTAAGTAACAAAGCACTCCCTTGAGTACTAAGTACCTTGCTAATTAATGAAATATTTTGTTAAACAATGAAATATCTTAAATACGATGTAACGACATATCACAAATATCATGGAAGAAAGTGTCATTTTTATAGTGTAATCAAGTACCCTGAATACTTTGCAATAAAGTATCCTGAACATGGTGTGTTAAAGTCTCAGTGATAACTTACGACTACAACTACTTACTATTGTCATATTCATAAAGGGATAACTTTCTCCAGACTTTTAAAGTTCTCTGCCGACATTTGTCTGCCAACAAGTGTTGTCTCTAACATAAAATAACAAGACTCGAGAGAAGGACGTAGCCACTAATTGATTTCGCTTCTCACAACGGGCTATGTGGCTAATTAATGTCATTATGTTCTTTCATTATAGCTTATGTGGCCAACTAACACTATTACGATGATTCACTGTGACTTGTGTGGTCAGTTACCAAGGTGGCTTTCTACTACAACCTACATGACTAATTGTTATCATTATAATCTTCAACTATATGTGACCAACTAACACTCTTATAGTAACCAACTACGACCTATGTAGCTTATTAATGTTGTATATTTCAACAATAGCCTTTATGACCAATTGACACTATTGCAACTCTCAACTACAGACTATGTGACCAATTGACGTTATGCAGCTCGACCTGTGGCCTTTATGGCCAACTAACACTGTCGTTGTTCCCTTTTACTGTTTATGCGACCAACTATGATCTATGTGGCCCACTGATCCTATAGCTTCCAACTACGACCTTTGTGGTCAGTTGACGTTTTTGTAAATCTCCACTATGGCTAATGTGACCAACTACTACATATCTGGCTCATTAATATTATAGCTACCAACTACAACAATTGTGGTCAAATATCCCTCCCACAACTACCAATTACAATCTATATAAAAAACTACTGCCAAACCTATATGGCAAACTGATGGTATTACAACCACTGGTTATAATATTTGTGACTGATCATTACTTTTGTAACAATCAACTACAACGTTTACGACCCACTATCATTATTATTGCCAAGAAATACATTTGCTATAGCCAAATTAAGGCTATTAATGTTGATTTATTATTGTACATATGTGATTATTAAGGTTGTGCTTCCATTTTATTTAATTTAAGAAAATAATGAATCATGTATTTGCAATCATATAGTGTATTATTTTAACTATGATATGCCCTATGATTTTTTTTGCTTTTCATAGTATTTCCATGTAAAAAATCATGGTGACTCCAGTTACTTTTCTTTTATATGTGTGTGAGTTGGATTTTTGTCTAAAGTTAAAACATTAAATGATCACTCTATATATTTCACCTTATTAATAAAATTGAACCTCTACATGTTTAACTCAATAATTATTGACAAGATTTGAACAATATCCCAATTGTTGATATCAACTCATTTATATTTGTGTGACTAAATATTTAGGACAAAAGGTAAAATATAATGTCGTACTTTGGGACCGACAACTCTAAATATTTAATTACTTATGTTCAAATTCAAATAAAGTGTCTTTGTAAGATAAAGCTGAGGACATCAAACATGATCCGATCTGAGTTCAAGTGAACTCAGATCACACACATAAAACATACTGAGAAGTTTTGGGATATATTTTTGGAGGTCAAATGATCTCAAAATCATACAATTTTATAGTCAAATCGACTATCTTGACAAGACAAATCCAACAAGCAAACATAAATCAACCCAACAAGCAAACATAACTTAATCCCGACATCATTAAAGTACTTAAATACTCATATATCATCATTGATCAAAGAAATCACTTTGGGTATTCTAGTGAAGTGGTCAAAATTCATGCATTATTTACAGATAATTACTCTCAAAATCTATAAATATTTCACAAATCTCTTCATAGAGGAGGGCTGAATCTGGATGAAAAGCTTGAAGGGATCTCTAAGTTCTTGAGGATTCTCGAGCTCCACCATCATTGGATCGTTGTCATCGGACTGTCACTGTCGGACTATTGCAGCCATACTGTCGCCGCCATCGTCGGACCACGACTATTTGGTTATCTTTGTCAGACAGTTGCTGACATCCATTTTTTATGCGAAATACATGAGATATCATTGCTAAGTGCACAACACTGTAATTGAGGTTTACAACATTATTGCCATTCCTCAAATCGATAATGGCCAAGACGACATTGCTTTTGATATCTTTTAGGTTGACATTCGTTTATGTGACACAAGGCTGTATCCTACTGATATGGATACTCTCGTGGCACACACCATCGATTAGAGTACCCCGCACCATGTTCGGGTCTTAAGTCAAAGGTCCAGATAAACAAATTTTATGTTGAAACCAATCTTCTCGACGATACATAGACGATTAAGCCTATTGAACTCTTTTAAATTGCATTTAAGGTTCCTACGGAGGTCCAAGGTTCATTACTTGCTCACATTCGATCATTTCGGAGGTCCCACGAGGCCCATAACCACCTTGGAGAGCTTCTCCAAAAGCTCAATCTTTCTTGGGTCTGACGTAACCTCACATAATTTAGGAGTGACCACGCCAAACAACCCATATGGGAACAAATTATTTCTCTCAAATAATAAATAATGAATAATTGTCTCTAATAGAAGTTGCTCCCTAAGTATATATAAATATTTTAAAATTTTAATTGGTCTTCTTATTTTTAATGATGATGTCCCAATGCAAGGCGATGAAAACCCCGGGTAATTGAAATAACTGTGCCGAAAATGACTACCAGACTTAAAGCCTTCACGGCTTGCAGTCCTATTTGCTCAAATTGGAAGTTTCGGGATGAAATCAGCAACAGAGGAGCTCTCTTTGTGCGAAATCTTTCTCTGCCGTTAAAATTTTAGCTAGCCCGACAAATGGAAATGAAGAAATTGAGTGCTATAAAAAATAATAAAAAATCTCGCGATAAAATAATAATTACGTCTTACAAAGATGAATTTTATGCGAATAAATTGTTCTGATTTATTTTATATGAAAGTAAACCCTCTTCATATGATATTATGGCATAATATATTTTCCTTGTCCTACCCGCTTATTTTTTTATGTCATGTCATGCACGGCAGCAGGCCGCAGCGCCATTTTCCATTTTCCTCCTCGCTTCGCCCATCGCTCTCTCTTCCGCTCTGGCTTTAGGGACACGAGAAGCCAGCCATATGGGATTCTGTGCCGTGTCGCTGCTCGTGGATATCCAAGCGCCGAGATTACGCCTGCCAAAGGGTTCCAAGAGGAAGGATGGGGTTATCTCGATAAAACCTAGGCGGAAAGCTTTGTTTTTTAACTCTCATCTCAGTCTTACAAAGGCGACGCCTTTATTGCTGCGAAAGTTCAGATGGCTCCCTCGTAGATACGCTTTTACTGGCATATAAAGACCTAACATCCTTCAGAACGGAGGTCTTTGAAGCGAATCAGAAAGAAAAAAGTTCTTTCCTGTATATCGGAAGACTTCTTCGATGGCCAGGGATTCGGCAAATGGTAAAGTTCTGTTTACAGAGGAGGAACTTAATGAAATTGCTGGGGTTAAAAAGGGGGAGGATTTTGTCGAGGTTATTTGTGGTTGCACTAGCCCGCGCTACGGTGATGCTATTGGGAGGCTTAAGATTTTTGCCTCCGGTAAGCTTGAGGTCGCCTGTGAATGCACTCCAGGTTGCCGGGAAGGTTCGTTCTATTGGGCCATTTTTCTTTGATTTTCTTATTATGATTTCATGTCATCTTCGAGTATCGCTGAAGCTATATTTTTTCTTCCATGTTTGGAGCTTGTAGTGGTGATATTTTTGTGCTCTCCATTAAGTTTTATCGCTATATCTATCATTCTTTGTCTCTAGATCAGCCACATTTGTTACTCATGCAAGAGTTTAGTTAAAAATTTTGAGTTTTGCTTTCGTTGGATTATGTGCTGTACTTTATTCATACGTTGTGCAGTGTTAACAAGCAAAGAATCTGTGGGACAGTGGGAATAATGTACTGTTGTTGATTTACATATGTGCATGGGTCATTTACGTACACAACACATAATTCTTATGAATTTACATATCAACATTTTAACAACTAAACATTTTTATTTACCTGAATATCACCGAAATCTTTAACATCACATTAAAATATCACCTCACTTTCAACATAGGTTTTTGAAACAAAGATGTTCCAAGTGCAAATGTCACTCTGGGTGTTAGATATGTAAATGCATAAGAATTGTGTGTTATGCATGTAAATGTATCATGCATATAATTAAGGACCAGTGCTCTGGTGAACTAAACGTCAAGTCTTTTCTGTAGTATGATTTCATGTTGTGTTTTTTACTTGAGGGAGGTATCGATGCAATTATTTTGGTTTTATTGCGCATGAGATGTTTGTCGGGGGACAAAATTTGTATCTTTATTAAGTTTGGTTTGTATTTTGTTCTCTTTGCACAAGCACTAAAATGTCCGGCGTTAGCTTTTTGCGGGTTATTTTTCTATTTATTTATTTATTTTATAATTCATATTTTTGTGCTATTTTAATATTGTATGGTGTTAATTTGCATTTTGGGTGTGTACTGGCGATCCTCATAGCACTGCAGAGTGTGATGACGACATATGCTTACTTGCAAAAACTGTTTTGTTTATTATTGGTTGATCCTTTCTCTTATGAAATCTTTAATGGATCCTTTGATTTTCTGAGCTACTTATGGGTACAAAGTTTTGTTATGGTTGGATCCATGACATTTATTTCATGGAAAATTTACATACATACCACTAATTTCCTATGCATTTACATATCTAACATCTAACTTCAATTTTTACATATTTACCAGCTTATCTATACATGAAAAGGTGTAGTTCACCTTTTAAAAGTTAAAATGGTGATTTAATTGAGGTGAAATTAAAAATTTTGGTGGTATAATTGTAAAAAGTGTTGTTTAGGTGTTCACCTTTTTAAAGTTAAAATGGTGATTTAATTGAGGTGAAATTAAAAATTTTGGTGGTATAATTGTAAAAAGTGTTGTTTAGGTGTTACATATGTAAATACACATGAATCAGGTGGTATGCATGTAAATGCCCCCCTCTTTACTATGTTTCATGTGTTTTGTGTGTGTGTGTCCGTGTATGTTGGGTCAAGGAATGTCCATCTATCTTATTCTGACTGCTTTTATGTGATGACAGCAGAAGGGATGATATATACCGAAAATGGTAGGGGGATATTTTCATATAGGAAGGCTGGTTATTGAAGAATTGGAATCTTTAGGACAACAATGCAATTTAATAAGCTTGTAAAAAGTGTTGTTTAGGTGTTACATATGTAAATACACATGAATCAGGTGGTATGCATGTAAATGCCCCCTCTTTACTATGTTTCATGTGTTTTGTGTGTGTGTGTCCGTGTATGTTGGGTCAAGGAATGTCCATCTATCTTATTCTGACTGCTTTTATGTGATGACAGCAGAAGGGATGATATATACCGAAAATGGTAGGGGGATATTTTCATATAGGAAGGCTGGTTATTGAAGAATTGGAATCTTTAGGACAACAATGCAATTTAATAAGCTTAAAAAGTGTACCAAACCATATATGCTGTGCGAGTTGCGAAAATGTATCCCATATCATAACCAAATTGAGAAAGGGATTCTTTAAATGTAATATGTTTCCTTCAATCTATTGGGGAATAGTGAGGTAGTAATAATTTCTCTTATTAAAAAAAATGTTGCATTTTTAGCTAATTTTTTTTCATTACCAAAAAGGATTATCCTAAAGCAGCAACATATTTTCTTCCCTTCAGTAGCTCTTTGTGCACGCTCGCGCTCATTCCAAATTACTGTTTGTGATATGTGATTTATGGTAAAGGGTCACTTTGTTTGAATGAATCTTCCATGCGTAGTATGCATAGAACTCCTTTTTCATATTATGAAATTACAAAATGTCTGTGTACTTGTTGGCCTGATACAATTCCTTAATTTTGATCTATTTTGTCCTTTTTTTTTTTAGGGAAAAAAATAGTGCAAAAGAATAAACTTTTATATATAAATTAAAAGCTTTGATGAATATAGTTTCTCCTCGTTTGTTTTTAAAGATATTTTCTAATTCTTAACTCAAGAAGCTTATCATGCGGTCCAAGCCTGTATCATAAAGTCTTTACGACTAGCATTCAAGTTTATTATTTTATTTATGCATTTGATTCTTGCATTCATCTAATAAATTTTCAGTTTCAGTAGTTATTTGCAAACTAGTAAATGCTGCAAATTCTAAGCTAGAAATTGACAAGCAATATGCAAACTAAAATGTTAGTTTATGCATCCTTTGGTTGCTTACTCTTCGCAAATCATTATCAAAATGATCAGATAAGTTGATACCATCAGCTTTTGAGAGACACGCCCGTCGGGAGAGCCAAAGGAGGTGGAAGTACTATGTGTGGGTCATTGTTAAAGGAAAAAAGATTCCCCTGTTGAAAACAGCATTGTTAAAGTACCATGAAAAAGTTCATGGTGGAAGCTCACATAGAGGCAACAAAGGACGAATAGTTCACCGCGATGAGTTTATTCGCTGCAGCAGATGCGACAAGGAGAGAAGATTTCGTCTGCAAACCAAAGAGGACTGCAGAGCCTACCATGATGCTGTACTCGATCCCAACTGGAAATGCTCTGATTTGTCTTCTGATGAGTAAGCTTTTTACTAAGAAACCTGCCTCATCATACTTTAACCACATTTTGCATTTCATTCTTAACTGAATGGAAAATAATATGATAAGTTTATGGTTTTCATCCTTTTCATTTGTTTGCTAAATATTTAATTTTCTGGCGATGCTAACATTGTTTGTGAAATATTGATAAAATATGATATTCTTCTGTTAGACTAGGAGACATCTAACGTCTAAGGGATTATTCACGCTTTCAACCAGTTTGGCTGATATAGGAGGATTCATTCAGTCAGTTGCTGGCGAGTTTTGCTCAATTGTGTGTCCATTTTTGTTCATTCTACCCATTTTGGGTAGAATGTAATTTGAATATGATGTTTTTATCCTTTTTTAGATTTTGACCAAAAGAATTAGTGAATTATTGTTTTTGGAGGTAAGTAAATAAAATATAGGAAAGTTAGCTTTTAAATTTGAAGAATATATTCTCTCCTTGGTTTTGGGAAGCTAGTTTTGAATTTCCAATCCTAAGGAGAAATTCTCTCGTTGATTCAATGATTGTTATAATTAGTGGGGATTTCGTTCCTTGTTTTACAATAAATAAAAATTAGTTGTTGCAATGAAAATCAAAATTTTAGTAATGATATTTTAGATTCCCCTCATTTTTTTACAAATTATTAGCTATTTGAATGATTACAGGTTTTAGATCCTACGACCATAGGCCTTGGAAATTAATGTAAGAAATTATTATTACGAAATGATATAGGGTATTTTAATGGGCATGCATATTTTGTTTTTTTTCATGTCTGAGCTATATTTTACGTATTAAATTTTATTGTAGACTTGTGCCAAAATGATTTAGTGTTGTCGAGTGGCTTGCAATGCTCTATGGCATAGAATGTTGGCCTTTAAACGATAAGCATAAAATAAAGCTAAGTATTGCTAAGATGAGTACTTAGGTGGATGAGTGGCTTGACACTTCGAGACAAAATGCGAAATAAATATATCCGTTATAGGGTTGGTGTAGCTCTATTGGCAAATAAAATTAGAGAGTGTCGTTTTAGATGGTTTGGTTACAGTAAATGTTGACCATCTAATGATCTGGTTAGGAGAGTAGATGTTTTATACTCGACTTATGTTAATAAAGGTAGAGGTAGACCTAGAAAGATTTGGGCATATTGTATAAAAAAAATGATCTTAATTTATTAGAATTAAATCTTAATTTATTAGAATTAAATGTGAAATATGACACAATATGATGCAATGGAGAAAAAAAAAGATTCATGTAGTCGACCTCATTTAGTGGAATGAAGGCTTGTTGTTGTTGCCAAAATGGTGAATTAAGGACAGTTCATCTGCATGATTATGATGATATTAAATTTAGATGTGGTAGGTTTAGGATTTTTTTAAGGTTGGCATTAATGGTTAAGTAATTTAATGATATAATGAAATATGAATGCTAGAATTCAATATTCATGGATATACAATAAATTTTTTCCTAAATAGAAATGATAAAGAATTCAACTTCTTAACAAAATTTTAGCAAATTAGAATCGGACGAATCTGACACTAATAGAAGGATATTTTGCCGCTAATCTTGATTTACGTCGTCATTGTGGGGCACACAAAAATTGGGTTCGATAATGCAATTAGTGTTGAAAAGGTCCGATACAAACAATTGCTTCGGATTTAGCGTCCGTAGGAATCAATGTCAACGAAATTTGATTCGGTCCACTCCACAAATTTAAACTTCAGAATTTGCATCAAAGTACACAAATTAATGTACTTATTTGAATCGATGTAGTTTGACAGAGATGTTATATTAGCGTCATAATGTATCAAATGATGGTAAAAAAATGTAGTAAGTAACGTCGGAATTTTCAACTCAAACCTGTAACAACTTAAAAAAATTATAAAAGAATGATCATATTTTTACAACCTGCACAAAACAAATCTATATCACAAATAAGTGTCATCACAATTGATAAGCTATATCACTAACAAATACAAAGAATAATAACAAACATAATTTAACAAATACAAATATAAATGCACGAAAGTTTATATATACTCAGAATAAATGTTCACATTATCAAAAAATATATAAATCCTATGGCGGAGGAGCATCATCAAACTCATAATCATCTTCTTTTTTCTTCTCATCCACAAAACTTATAGGCTGCTTGTTTAAACGTTCTACAATACTCTCCATCGGGCTTGTTAGAGTTTGCTAAACTCTTTGTTGGTCTTCGAGTAGCTGATCACGTATTTGATGGGTTTCTTCATTTATAGCATTAATCTGCCTGACAGTCTCCCCTTACTTCGATTGTAATGAGCTAGAGCCACCTATAGGAGCACCAAAGTGTTCAACCTCAAATGCAATGTTATTTCCACCCTGGCTATATACCCTCTCTCTTCTTCCCCGTCTCCTGCATCCATAACTAAAAATCATTGTTCAGTGGTAGACTGATTATCATTGTTGTTGGCGAATGTCGGGGTATAACTCTCCAACTTCTTTTGCCTCTCCCGGAGCTTCTCGTACTCCTATATAATTAAAATCAAGATTCAATTTTCATTTTTAACATTAATAGTAAAAAAAAATAGAAAATCATTTTTTTTACTTATTTTGACCCTCCGTCAGAGACTAACTGCTGCGTCCTCGGCCGTCGAAGCTCGTTATCATGTGAACATGAGAAAATAGTAAGTACCACATTGTTACGTCGATCATTTAATTTTTGAATATTTAGAGAATCTTAATTGTCTTCAGTAGGGCTTGTGTGGGGGACTTAGCCTCCAATGTGGAGTGCGACACCCTTGACTACCCCAGTCATATTGTTTTTGTTGGTTCGTCTTCCTTTTTCATGATAATCTAGAGAGTCTCAGGCTTTGGTTAACTCAACCCAGACCTACTCCCACAACATGATGGGTTTTTCCTCCTTTCTGAGGGCTGTGGTCAACATGTTACCCAACTGATACCTTTAACGAACCTAAAAATTATGACGAATTTGTTGAAGACTTTCTGATAGCCAGCAGAAAAATCTCTGCAAATTAAAAATTGTGCAATATTGATTCATGTAACAAAATAATTTAAAATCAATATTCTAATTCAAATTAAATAATCCTGCCTTAAACTCTAGAACTGCATGTACCGAGTCGCAATCAGGATCTGTTTCCAAGAGATTCGTAATATCGTATCTAATTCAGATGATCTTTGTGATGCATGTCATGAGCGACCTAGGGGGAATAAATATAAAATAATAATATTAGTTACATAAAATATCGAGATGAACATTGAACTTATTTTAATTTTAAAGATAACTTTTGAGTCTTTTTCCGACACAATATATACTAGGCCAGAGGAGTCCTTCCTCAGAGAGGCGATAGTCAAGGAGAGCAACTGTAGAATGTACTGGAGGGGCTGTATTAATGGTGGTGTTGCTGACTTATACAAAACTAGTGTTGTGTGTCAGAGCGAGATGCAACTTTCTTCATTCTCCTGTATGTACTCTGTAACATGACCCAAGGAAGTAGCTCAGATGGCTGACCACCAGCACACCTAATGCCATCTGTAATAGGAAAAAAAATAATAAAAATAGTGCTAACAACAAAAATAAGCAAAAAAAAAAAAAAAAAGTATAATATAAGTAGTACAACTAAAAACAAAAGTGTAAAATTAAAACAAGAAATATTTTGTAACTGTTTAAAACCAACAAAAATAAACATAAGTATAATTTAAGCAACAAAAATAAAAATAAGGTGCAAAATAAAAAAAAAATTGTAATTATTTCTAAAAAATAAAACTAAAAAACAATTTAAGAAATTAATCTTCTAATTATACGTACATACCTTTTTTAGTATGTTACATTAGACGAGTTAGCCGATGATACACTTAAAATTCTTCTTCAATGTCATCATCATTGTCATTTTTTATAAATTTACATGATATCCTCTAAGGTAAACACTTTTTCAGTCGAATCAAGCTTAATATGAAAATCTGACATTTTGCTTTTGCTGAATGATTTCAATAATAATTTGCATCTCAATAATTTTTTTGGGTTTATTCTTCATAACGATGACCAAATCAAGTTTATCCCTCTCTTTATCAAAGTATCGAAGATAATAAACCTGATTAGTTTGACGTGCCTGGATAAATGAATCAAACTTCTTATATATTATCCATTTTGGTTTCAATACTATCATACGGGCGTAGCATTCTTGTTTCTCGATTAGAAACAAGATCAAACAACTCACAGTTGAATATATATACACTGCACGCAATAAAATCCAGTTATTACATCTGAACCATTTTTTCAAGTATGCTATAATAATTGATATCAATATTTGTTTGTGTTTTTTTAACATGACATCAAAATTAAGTTTTCTTCACTTCACATCAGAAATTCCTGAGAAATCTATAATCGTTTACATCAAATATTTGTTATGTATTGACGTTGCAATTAGACCCTCAAGCAAAGATCTAATACGTCGTGATTCATAATTCAATTTTTTCTACAATGAACCTATTAGACGTTTCAAATCAAAATTAGTTTTATTTTGAACATGAAAATTTTATTACATATTGGTGAATTGAAGAATTGTTTCAACGTACATATGGTTTGAACAATGTCAAAAATTCTTTTTAAATTTTCTTGTTTATAAGAGTCGTCGTCTATATTCAAATTGTAGATAAATAATCTGCTCATATCATTGTTATTTTATATTGAATTAAATTAGTATAATATTTTGATAATAATTGAGAAAAAAATTTGATTACTAGAAATCTTATTCTATAAATAATTGCACTTCATCATAGTTCGGTAAACATATGATGTAGCTGCTCGAAATTCATTTTTTTTGTTGAGCCAAGATGTATCATGCCTCTCTAGTGATTCTCCTATTATGTAATATAGACAATTCTCATTGAATAGACATGTCACAAATACTTATATGTATTTGAGATATTGTATGCTTGCAATTTCAACTTCTCAAGGGTAAAAGGAGGGAGATAAATTATGAAATTCTTGTTTTGTTATTTTTTCATCTTCTTTGTAAGACTTCTTTTGTTCAATTTCTCTTTCAATCAAATGATCAAGTTGGTTGTTTAAGCATGTTTAGTGAGTAATTTTTCTTTCTTCCTTGGGATGAGGTAATAGGGGAGATATATGTGAAGTTTCTTTATGGTTTAATGATGACTTGTTGGATGACGATTAACTTATCGTACATAATTTACATTTCATTTTGGCCAAGTGATGTTAATATTTGTCATGAGTTATAAATCTTGGATGAGATGATAATGGAGTCGACTTAGTTAATCACATTAATTTGGTGGAATATGGATATATCTACTAAATTGGTGCATACGTAATCAAAGATAGTGGTTATTTGGTTAGAGATTGGAATTAAGGAACTATTCCAATTCTTAACTAAACTTTCTTATTCCATCGAAAGGGGGTAAAAAAGAGTATTGTCTCTGTTTGTCATCTGTTTATTTGATTAACTTTCACTTACATTGACTGATTGAACCATTCAGAGGGAGAACTTTTTAAATATTTGAATAACTTTTCACTTTCTTTGTTGATAACTTAGAATTTCTTTTAGGATTTTAAATTAAATCAACATTTCATGCTAGGTCTGACATTAATAGGTTGAACTTTTTCAAATTTGTTCCTTGTGGGGTCGTCAATCAGGTTCCAACCTCGGTCTATTGATACGCCACGTATACTTGCATGAGCCACTCGTGCTTTGTAGCACCTAGTGTGTGCCACAATAAAAGGTTGATTGAAATCTGACAAGGCCAGCATTGGTACACTCTCTATGACCTTCTTTAACTTCTCAAAAGTTTGGGTCGCTGTTTTGCCCCACTGAAAGTTATCCATCCTCAATTTCTCCATAAACGACCACTTAATCGAATTTTAACCCTTCATAAACTTCTAGTAGTATCTTGTAAGTTACATAAATTCTCTTAACCTCTTCATGATCTTTGGTATTGGGCACTCCAATATAGCTATCACATTTGATGGATCCACCAATATCAAGGTCTTGTATATACTAGGGTCACCGTAAAGCACCATCATCTTGTCCCTCTTTTGAATAATATGCAGTGTCAAAATCCCATGATCTTCTCCACCTGCCCCGTTTCCATAATTACTCCTGAATTGAATTCCGTCCGAAAGGCTGCTGCAACAAAAGAAATTGGCATAATTGGATGCAGCCCTCTGTCGGGGTCCCACTACCATCCCTATTCCAAGTTGAAGTTTTTCGAAGCAATCTTCTTGATTCCCTAATCGCATGAAATCCCGTTCTACCTATTACTGCTCATTCCAAACGTCAAGATGTCATATAATTCCCTCTAGATGTTGCTGCTCGAACCCGCTTTTGTCTCTTTTACTTGATTCGGCTTGCTTCCGTTTCTTCCAACCTTTCGAATGTCGCACTATTTCTTTTTACTGCCACAACTTGAGTCTACTCGTGATTCCTTCTCTCGATCTCGCAAATGCGCTATATGCAACAATCTTGTCTTTGGCTTCCCAACTAGGTAAAATTTCAGTTGTTCCTGCAGATCGTAAGCCTTGATCAAGCCTTTGGTTTCAAACACCATTCAAATTGCGAAATTTCTTTATGCGATCCGTCATTGGCTTTTTAGCTTGCTAGTGTAGCACTATATCTCGAGGTTCAATGGCCATGATCTCGCCGTTAGCTCGAATCACTTGCTATCTGCGACTGTATCACAAAATTCCTTGACAACGGTAAGATTGTGATATGTATGCCGCGATCCTGTCTGTTACTTAGGTAGCCCAAATGCAACTGATTCGTGAAGTGTTGTCGCGACGGAGACACATGTATGCTTCGATGATGAAGGTGATCACGATCACGTTTTTCGTTTCCAGAAATCAAATGCTTTAATATCAATTTGATAGGAATAGAAATGAATTTCCATATAAATTCGGGCAAACAAATTTTCTTTTTCAATTACAAAAAACAACACAATCCGAATATATAAAGATATGCACCTACAACTCGAGAGGAAGGTGATCTGTCCCAAACACTAAGATAAACATCTTTAATTCGAGAAGCAGAAGATCACTCCCAAACCGTATCCCAAAATTTCAAGACAACAATCTCATAGCATTATTTATTCATAAGCATAATAAGCCCTATATATACCAAACATAATAACTAATAGACGACGTATTTGCTCTTAGGCACGAGTCTAACACTAACATGGTACTTATTAGATAAAAACATGTACTTTTGGTGATATTATTAAAGTTCTCTAAATATCCATCGCTATTAATGTTATGTCAATTCCCTAAAAAGAAATTTTATTCTTTTAGTAGTTAGAAATGGCACAACGCATCATTTTGATCTTATAAAATTATAAGAGAAACTATACCTAATCTATAAACCTTGGAGGCTAAGTGATATTTCTCAAGATAATTTTTATTTTTAAGCTGTCAATGACATTCATCACAAACCAGGGAGTACAAAACTACATGTTGCACTTTTGAAAATACCATACATAAGGCACCAACAATGCTATTGTATTGTTCTGAAACAAACATCTTTGCCAAAATGCGAGTGACTCAAATCCATATGGAAACTTTAGAGTCTAAGTGATATTTCTCATGCTAATTGTCAGATTCAAATTGTCATGATATTTATGGCATTGTGATGAGTACAAACTATATGTTGCTCTTCTGCTCTTGGGTTGTGTTATTCTAAAACAAATACTAAGTTCTAAATTATTGATGATGTTTTTCTCTAATCTTTAGAGAATAAGTATATTTTGATGCATGCATTCATGTCTCGAGTATGTTTCACATGTATACCATTCAATTCTTATGTTTTTACATATCTAACATCAAAGTTTCCATTTTTACATATATGTTGACTTGCCTATTGGTGAAAATGTGTATTTCACTTTTTAAACCGTTTAAACAGTGTTTCTTTTGATATGATAAAGATTTTGGTGGTATAAACATAAAAATGCTGAGTTTAAGTGATGGATATATAAATATATAAGAATTGGGTGGGTTGGCTTGTAAATACACATGAATGTAAATCTTCATTTAAATGTTGATGTATACGAGTCTAATTCAGAGAATGGCATCAGATACTGCTGTGAAGATGAGGAGGAACGCGCCACCCGTAGATCCATCAGAGGATGCTCGCGCGCCGCTTTGTGCAAAGGCTGCACTCTCTGCGTCTGCTTCGGCTGCGACATCTGTCGCTTCCCCGACTGCGCCTGTCAGACTTGTATTGATTTTGTGAGGAACTCAGCCAACAATTGAGTAGCTTCTTTCATTGAGAATATTTTTTCTTCTTCATATTTTAAATATTAATCGTCGGAAAATTATCATTATTGTCTGTTAATTTATGCAATATTATGAAATATTTGGGAATTTGCTGAAAGTTTTTATCTTTTAAACAAGTTACTGAAAAATAATTTGTTGTTCAAAAAACTGTAATGACTTATTATTATTATTATTTTTTTGAAAAAGTTTGACTGTAGTTAGAAAGCTGCGATCACTCCTACAAGAAACATGGTGAGAACGTTGATTTCAGCGGTTTGAAAACATAGTTTTTTGAATAAGCTGAATTACCCAAACGGTTCTGGACATGTTTTCAAAACATCCCAAATCAAATAAGTTGCCCTAAATGGGGCCTTAGTTTGGGGTTTCTAAATGCGTGCCATTATACATTTCTCATCTGTTTACATGTCTAACATTTAAATTTCAATTTTTATAGTTAAAATATATCATTAATATGTAAGAAATGAAAAGCACTTTATTAAGTTAGACATTGGTATAAATGTAAAAATTGAAGTTTAGATGCTAGATATGTAAATTCGTAGGATTTATGGGGTATGTTAAATTATTTTTGTTTAATTGATAGCTTCTTTGTTATTTTGTGAAAGATGAATGTCATTTTATTCAATCATGTTGGGATCAATAATGTAAAATTTGAATGTTATTTTTGATATATTGATGCATCATGCTTCATTATGTATTATGCTAAATCTGAAATTATAACCTCCATGATCTCTAATAATTTTTTCTTAGTGGTAAATTTATGATTTGACCAAAGTAAACAAGTGTTTGACTCACAAGCAAATTACTTATATATAAATAAATTATTAAATTAAATAATATTAGATGAATTAAGTGGGAGAATATTACATAATATTTTTTTTGAATATTATTTATAAATGAAAAGCGTATATAACACTATATTATTTTTAAAAAAAGCCCGCATTGGGTCCCTTGACGATCCTGCTTCGCGGCGCAACGGGTCCTGACAATCTCACCGCTTACCGCTCACTTCCTTTCAGCTGGGCGGTGATCACACTCCCGTTCCCTCCCCAATCGCTTTTCGAAGCCCTACCGATGGATACCCCGCCGCAATTGGCGGAGCGACGCCGCTCCCGGCGAACTTCTGCCTTGAAACCCCGCACCTACGATGAGTCCGCCCTAGACGATTTCTTCCATGAACACCTGGACACCTCCCGGAAACGCAACCGGACCCTCAAAGCGCGGCAAAAGGAGACTAAGACGGAGGCCATGATCGCCCTCTCTCTAGGGTTCCCCATCGACGCTCTCCTCGAATCCGAAGTTTCTACCGGCGTCCTCTCCTCCCCCGACGAGCTGAACGACTACATCGTCGTTCGCAACCACATCCTCGCTCGCTGGCGCTCCAACGTCCGCTCTTGGCTCTTCAAGTCCCAGATTCGTGAGACTGTTCACAGCGACTACGTTCACATCATCTCCGCCGCGTATGATTTTCTATCCGAGCATGGTTATATCAATTTTGGCGTTTCGCATGCCATGCGCTCCAATTTCCCAGATGAACATGAGTGCGGATCCGTTCTCATCGTCGGCGCTGGACTCGCTGGCCTTGCTGCAGCGCGGCAGCTGCTTAATTTTGGCTTCAAGGTGTTAGTTCTCGAGGGCAGGGATCGTCCGGGCGGAAGAGTTTATAGTTCGAAAATCGGGAAGATTGGGAATTTAGCTGTTGTTGATCTGGGCGGTAGCGTGATTACTGGAATCCACGCGAATCCACTTGGGGTCTTGGCGAGGCAGTTGGGAATTCCGCTTCACAAGATTAGAGATAGATGCCCTTTGTATTGGCCAAATGGTAGAGCTGTCGATGACAAATTGGATGTGGAGGTGAATTCTGTGTTTAATAAGCTACTTGAGAAGGCTGCAGAGGCGAGGAAAGCACTCGGAGAATCCGGTGAAGGAATTTCACTTGGTTCTGCCATTGAGAAGCTTCAGAAACTTTATAGTGTTGCAAAGAGTGAAGATGAGAGAGAACTGCTTGATTGGCATCTTGCAAATTTGGAGTATGCCAACGCTGGATGCCTTTCAGATCTATCTCTAGCTTACTGGGATCAAGACGATCCCTTCGAGATGGATGGCGATCACTGCTTCCTTGCTGGCGGAAATTGGAGATTGATCAATGCACTCTGTGAGGACGTACCGATCCTTTATAGGAAGACGGTTACAAGGATCGAGCATGGAGATTCTCGTGTAGAGGTGATGGTTGCTGGAGGCCAGGTGTTTCGTGCAGATATGGTGCTTTGCACCGTGCCGCTTGGTGTCCTTAAGAACGATAGTATCAAGTTTGATCCTGAACTGCCATCTCCAAAGCTCGGTGCCATAAAGAGATTGGGTTTTGGGCTGCTTAACAAAGTTGCAATGCTGTTTCCATATGTTTTTTGGGGGGAGGAACTCGATACATTTGGTTGTTTGAACAAAGATAGAGAAAAGCGTGGTGAATTCTTTCTTTTTTACGGTTACCATACTGTCTCAGGAGGTGCTCTACTTACTGCATTGGTGGCAGGGAAGGCTGCGTTGAATTTTGAAAACTCTGATCCGGTTGCTTTGCTTCATAATGTTATTGGTGTTCTTAGAGGTACTTTTGTACTACTAATTGTGATTCTTAGTGTCCGTTTGCTTTCATTTAATTCTTGTAAACATCTAATGGTGTAAAGTCATTCATTTTTTTTTTGCTGAGTGAGTTGATCCTATTGGAGCAAAGTGAAAGTCAAAATGAAGAAACTAATTCAAGAGATCCAAAGTAAAACTTAGAACAAAAACACACAAACATGAAAATGCAGAAAACACAAAGAACACCAAGATTTAACACGAAAAAACTCGAGAACATGAAAAAATCACAGAGCCACATCATATCAAGAAATCCACTATGAAAATGAGGAGAAATGTACAAATTACGCCAAACTCAAGCCTCTCTACTTTCTGGAACACAAAATGTATATACTTCCTTCCTTGGAAATGAAGAACATTCCTTCCTTCTATTTGACACAAGAAAATCATGAAATCTAATTGTGTACTTGCTTGTTCACACACCACAAAGTTCTCTGAATTCCCGTCTAAGACTTAAATCTCGAACTGCAACCAAAATCATTGCTAGCATCGAGGTGTTATCATTGACTGCTGGGTTTCCTAGGGCTTGGGTGTAGGAGCGATTCGGGCGCAACTGCGCTTCTTTTGGGAGCTTGATTCCCTCCCCAAAAACTTTTTGATGGGTGCGTAGGCGCCCGTGTTTGAGAGCAGGGTTTCTGGTGCTCGAATTTCTAGGCGCTGAGGTGCCCAAATCAATCTTCACACATAGCAATCTCCCACTTTGAGACTGATTGTAATCAATTCTTCTCCTCCAAACCTAAACCATCATCATAGTCATATATTATAATATAACTCGTCCCTCATCTCAATCTTCCTAAACTCCAACTGAAGCCAAACACAGGTCTAATTTTTCAGATGTTACAGTCTTAGTCAACATGTTTGCAGGAATCTGAGTTGTACATCTTTTTCAAAACTAATTGGTCAGCTTTTAGGATTTATAGGCGTTGAGGCGCCCTAATCAGTCTCTACACATAATAATGTGTCACATAAAAGATTGATTGCAATCAATTCCTATTCTCCATTATAATGTGTCACATATATGATTTATAGGCGTTGAGGCGCCCTATTCCTAATTAGTCTCCACACATCTTAACCTTCTTGAACTCCAATTGATGCCAAACATAGCTTCAATTTTTTAGATTTTACAGTCTTAGTTAACATGTTTGTAGAGTTTTGAGTTGAGTATATCTTCTCCAAATATAATTGATCATCTTTTAGGATTGAACGAATTAAAGGATATCTTAGCTGAACGTGCTTCATCCTGACATGAAATACGACATTCTTTGTTAGATAAATAACATTCATATTGTTACTGTAATGCTTTTAATTTGCTTGCTCATTGCTCGATTCTGTTATAAAACCCTACAGTCAAATCATATCATTGCTAGCCTTAGTGATAACAATCTACTCAACTTTTATAGTTGATAGTATAACAATTTTTTGCAGCTTAAAAACTCAAATGACTGTTTTATTCCCTAAAATGAAGATATAACATGTTGTACTTATTCTACCATCATTATCACCTGTTAGATCTGAATTTATATATCCCTATTGATTGATTCCTACACTTCCAAAATAAATTGTATTGTTGATTGTTCCTCTCAAATGTCTGAGAATCCACTTCACCGTCTTTCATTGATGTTTCTCTCGATTATTCATATACATGTTGATCACTCTCACTGCATGTGTAAAATTTGATTTTTGTACATATCATTGCATACATCAAAATTCTAACTGCTAAAGCATATGGAGTTCTTCTCATCTATGCTTGCTCTATTTCAGACATAGACAATTTTTCTTTAAATCGCTTAAAGTGACTTTATAAGTAGGTGTAAATTGGTTTTGCCTCACTCATGTTAAACATACGTAGAACCTTATTAACATATCAGCCTGAGAAAATTTAAGTAATTTTACTTATGTCCTTGTGACTCTCATACTAAGGATTTTTCTGGTTGGACTTAAATTATTTTTTTCAAACTCCCTTGATAATTCACTTTCAAGTCCCTTATCTTCTCTATATTTGTTCCCGTAATTAACATGACATCTACATACAAAAGAATCACGATATAATAATTATCAAAATATTTGATGAAACAATAGTGATCTGCTTGACACTTTTATATCAATTGTCTGACATAAACATGTCAAATCTCCTGCACCATTATCTTTGAGTCTACTTTAAATTATAAACGCTCTTCTTCAATTTGCAGATATGATCTTTTTTTTCTTGGAATTTCATATCTCTGTAGCCGCACCATATACATTTCTTCCAAATTATCATATAAAAAGATTGTTTTTACATCCAATTGCTCCAAATGTAGATCTTCCTCTGCTACCAAGCTCAACACAACTCTAATTGTTGCATTTTCACTACAAAAGAAAATAAATAAGTAGTCTACTCCTTTTGATGAAACTCTTTCACACCTTGCTTTGCAGGGTTTGCTACAATCTGACTCTTCTTTTAGCTTATAAATTCACTTGTTGTGCACTGCTTTTTTGCCATATAATAATTCTGTTAAATCACATGTCTGATTTGACCTCAGTGATTGCATCTCATCATCCATGACAAACTCTCACTTTTTTGAGCCTTCAACTTGAGTGACATTTCATAGCACTCTAGTTAACTACCATTAGCCAACAATAAATAGTACAAAAAATGTGAATGCCTATATATCAATAGTGTAATTTTGCTGGGCCTTATGTTTCAATAACAATTGTTTGAGGAACTTTCTATACTTCATCAGATTGAACACATTTACTTTCTTTATCTTCCTGATCACCATTACATTCTATTTCAACATATTTGGAAGACTCTTCAGAAGTAATTGATAGATAGTTTTGAGTTTTGTTCATGTCCATGTACATATCCATTTTATTGAAAGTAACATCCTTGCTCCTAATGATTTTTTGATTTTTATAGTCTCAGAATTTGTACTCAAATTCATCTGAATTATAACCAATGAATGTGAATGACGCGGGTGCGACATCTCCCACACGAGAAGGAGAGACAAGCTTGTCCGCTGAACTGGCTGGCTTAGAAACCATTTCAAGGAGGCCGATCCAAAACTCTAGTAGAGCCGAGCGGGTTTTCTGTTTTATCTCTCTGATCGAGTGGCTTTGGGAAAGGGCGATAGTGTTGCTTGCCCTCTCCTCCTTCCTTTTTTCCTCCTTCGTTTAGAGGTATTTTTTGGCTGATTTCTAAAATTTCTAGCATCGCCACCCCTTCCTTTTGTGTGGGAGTTTCTTTCTTAACCTTTTTTCTTTCTTCTTCATGTAAGAGTATTTATTTGTTGTTTTTAGAGACGAGGGTTCAGTTTTGTTGTGTGTTGATTTCGAAATTCCTGTGTAGAGTCTTTTCTCTTTCGTAGAGTTGTATCTGAGGAAGTGGTGGTGCTCCGGCTGTATGCTACGCTAAGATGGTGATTTATCTTCCCCTTCTAACTTCCCCTTTTAACTTTCCAAACCTGTCTCTTCCACTCCCCTTAGCCGCTGGTCACTACAAACCTTTCCCAACCGCCTCCAGCTCACTTTCCAACCACCCAACGTGCTGTCCAAACTCTTCATGCCTGCTGTCCAGACCTGCAACCTACTGTCGTCAAACCTGCTGTCCAGCCTTCCGATACTCGCTTTCCTTGCCATTTGACACCTCTTTTTCGCTGCCATCAATACCCCCTTGCTGCCACCACCCTGGCCAACCATCCCAAACCACTTAGCCGACTTCCACCGCTCCTAGAATACACCTTAGAGGTGTATGTTCATGTCTTTTATGTTTTCTGTTGTTAGTTCCTATTATGTTGTGCTGTACCATGTTTTTCCATTAATAAAAGTTATTTTGTGTATTTTTGTTGTTTTTCTACTAGTTCCGGTATCAGTGTGTTTGACAGATTTGATTCAAGCGTACTCCTATATCATGCATCAACATGAACATATGATGCCAAATACTTTTAAGTGAGATGGATTTATCTCTTTAACACTTCAGGCTTGTTCATGCAAGCCTAAATTCAAAGGTACTAACAGACTACGATTGATCATATAAACAACATTGTTCGTTGTTTCTGCCTAAAACTATTTTGGTAAGCATGTATGCAACCTCATACTTTAGATGAGTTCTATAATAGTTCTACTAATGCGCTCATCCACATCATTTTGCTGTGATGTCCTTGGAATATTGAAGTCATGTCTGATTTTCCTTGAAGTACAATAACTCTTGAACCTCTAACTCAAGTTTGTCTCATTCTCAACTATAGTTTTCCACTTCTTAAACACATCAAATACATCAGATTTATATTTTAAGAAGCGTAAACATACCTTCATTTTGTGATTATCAATGAAAGTAATAAAATATTGAGAACCTCCAATAGATTGAACTAAAGTAGGGTCATATATTTTAGTATGCACTAACTCCAGCTTTTTGGATTTCATCTTAGACCCATCCACTTTCAGAGAAATTAATATTGTTTTGCTTGTCATAACTCATAAATACAATCTTTACAAAAATTTTACTTTATAGACTAAGCCATGAAGTTTGTTCTTATAAATGAGAGACTTTATACATTTATCACTCATATGACAAATCCTATGGTGTCATGGACCTACACCACCTTTTGTTCCTACAACACCAATGGATTCAAACATCTGTTTGATCAAGTAAAGGGTGCCTTCAATATTGCCTCAAGCAATCATCATAGCCCCTCTGATCATCTTCCATGAATCAGCCATGAAATAGTCACATACTATGAACTTGCAAGTTGGCTCACATAAATCAAATTTTTTTTCCAAATATGGAACATGTCCAACTTCATTGAGCTTTCATATTGATCCATTTGACAACCTGATATCAACATGATCATTTTTTACAATACTAAATGTCTTATTATTTCTCAAATACACATTCTCTAGATTACTTTGAGTGTAAATTTTGAAAACCTCTTTGTTGGAGCAAGCATGAAAAGAGGCACCTGAATCTACTATTCATGATTTAGTATTATTTAGGAACAAAATAAGAAACTTACCTTTAATTTCATATATTTAGATATTAGTAGAAAATATTCTATTCGGACCACCACCACCAACTTTTGGAGCTTGGCAATTTTTCTTGAAGTGGCATTTCTACCCCCGTTCCAACGTTCACCTCTATCTTTCTCTATCCCTGACCTGGACATTGGATTTGAATCTTTCCTTGATTGTGTTTATATCCAAATTTCTTCTTTTGTTTTTAATTTTCATATCAGATATTGAAGTTTCACCATTCGCCTTTTTACGGGCTTTTTCATTTAGTACCAACCCTATAATTTCATCAAAGTTTAACATCATATTACCTAAAAAGTTACTCACCACAGTGACTAGTCAATCCCAACGGTCTGACAATGAAGATATGAGTAACAATGTCCTGACCTTGTCATCGAATTTGATGCCAACAAAACACAACTGATTAATCACAACTTTGAAGTTATTCAAGTGCTTAGCCACTGAATTACCATCCACCATCTTCATATTGAACAATGTATTTAAATAAAATTTACATATATACCATTTTCTTCATTAGAAAAAAATTATTTAAAGTCGAGGGCTTCTCATGCATCCTTGTTAGCGCAACCATGATATCTACCCTTAGTTTGCCTATTCACAATTGACAACAACAAATGAAGAAAGTGAAAGACGGATTAAACCTAGTGTTGTTGGATCGAGAACTTCCCATTATTTCAGAGTCATCGATTCAGGCTTTTTGCCGATTCCTTCGAGTGACATATATTGTTTCGTTTGATATAATAAATTTTCAATTTATATTTTTTAGAAAACAAAGTTTGAATCATTGAATTTCTCCACCTTGTATCTCATTTTGGCGACCATTGCTTCCATGTGAACCAAAGATCTTTAGAAAACCCCGCTCTGATACCACTTGTTGGAGCACAATGAGGACAAAACCGCAGAAACAAATTCAAGAGATTCAATGAAAACATAGAAAAGAATCATAGAAACAAGAAAACATAAAAAACACAAATAACTCCAAGATTTAACGTGAAAAAACTAGAAAATAACACAAATAACTCCAAGATTTAACGTGGAAAAATCAGAAAATAGGAAAAGAGTCATAGAGTCATGCCACACCAAGAAATCGGTTATGAAAAAGAAGAGAAATGTACATATTACACCACACTCAAGCATCTCTGCTCTCTAGAACCACAACAAAAATTCAATTCCTTTATTTGGAAATCAAGGACGCTCCTTCCTTCTCTTTGGCACAAGAGAAATCGCTAGATCCACTCGTGTACTAGGCCATTCGCATATTGCAGAGTTCTTCTACGAATTCTACACTGCAGACTTAAATTCTGAACTGCAGCCAAAAATCATTGTTGTTGTCGAGGAGCCATCCCCGAGCGCTGGTTTCCTGGCACTCGGGTGCAAGGAGCGATCTGGGCGCAGTTGCGCCCCTCCTATGCACTGGATTCCCTCACCATAAACTGCTGGATGACGCCCGTATCCTAGTGCAGTATTCTGGCGCTGGGACGCCTGCTCCTAGGCGTTGGGTTGCAACAATTAGTCTCCACTCGCAACACATTCAAAGTTAGTTCAATCATAAAATATTAAATTGAAGGATTTATCTATCGGTGTTGTATATTGAATTTAAGTCTCTAATGATAAGATTTGCTGTCCAGCATCATTTCGCACAAGGGAATAAATTTTTTAGTTGTATGTAAAAATACATGCAGTTTTTTTTTTGTAGGCAACAAATTTTTATTGCTCAGAATGATTGGATTAAAAATACATTGCCAGAATTATGTAATTTTCTTTTCCCTTTTCACATAAGGTAGCTTTATTGTCGCAGTAGTAGGTTGGGCTTGAATTCTATACATATTGCTCATGACCTTTGCATTTATTGAATGACAGAGTAATGCCCATTTTCCTTCATGTGAAGGAAAAAAAAATTGAGTTTTATCTGCCGACTCATCCAAGTCTTAAATCCATTTATTTAACCTTGACACCGTAGTCCAAGCATAATATTGATCCAAATTACGATCTCCTAGTCCAGGGTTAGTTTCATGAGATGAAACTAATTTATCATTGTTTAAGGGTTTAAACTATGGTGGAAGGGTCCGTTTGGGGGAACCACAACTTTAGACAGTTACAAAATTATTGTGGAGAAAATATTCATTTTTAAAGTTCTGAGAAAAAATAACTTTTTTAAAGTTGTTATAATTGTTATAAATATTCTTTTATTTTGGAAAAAATAGACTGCAATTTTCTTACAACCATCATATTTTAACATATCTAATTCTAAAAAATAGTTTCCCTCTATAAAAATATTTTAAAAACAACAATGAAATAATAGCCAACAGATATGTAATAATGGTTTAAAAAGTAAAACAGTGAGAAAGCTCTCCAAACATAACCCAAAATAAGAACGGTGTCAAGATGCTTTCCTGGATTTTTTTTCCATTACCTCTACTTGATAAGATTTTAGCATATTAAATATTTAATGTTTATTTGGGTTGCTGTAGTTTCTTAGAAAGGCCGCTATAAAGCTGATGTATGGAAACTAAATTTTTGGAATCTAGGCATTTGTGTTTCTATATAAATTGTGCATACTCATTCATTGTTAAGGAGCTGTGAGTAATGTCATCCAATTTTTCATCTCTTCCGTCAGTCGTGAGATATATATATATATATATATATATATATTGAAAAATTGGATGACATTTTTTTAAAGCAATCACATTTTAATAAATCTGATTTTCAAAAACAGTTTTTATTACAAAAATTTCTAAAATTCAACAAAAAATCAATAGCCAAATGGATGCGGCTGTGGCCTGAAAAAAATGAAACAAAAAAATAAAGCATGAACCTGGAGCAACTATGTAGATTGTCCTGATTAAGAAGTCATGCGCCTATGGCTTTTGGCATCTAGGCATTTGTGTTTCTAAGTGAAGTTTGTCTGTCTTATGTGTGCTATCCTGAAAGCCTCTTCTTGGCTTGCATAGGCACTGAAGTGTTCGTGCTTCAGTAACTAGTACCCTGCCTTTCCATCTTGTTGGATTATAATCAAAATCACCAATCAATTTTTTTTTTTTTTAATTTTGTATTTCCTCTTATTTTAATCATTAAGTCTCAGTGTTGTAATGCTTAATTTTTGGAAGCATATGCAGTTCTATGAGTCCCTTATGCTTGTGCTGGTCATGTGTTAAATACCAACATGTTTAAGGAAGATTTACTTACTTTCCACTCAATTCTTATGTAATTACATATCTAACTCCTAAACTTTAATTTTTAAATACATGCCACCTTACCGATTCATGAAATTGTGCATTTCACTTTTTAAAAGTTAACATGGTGGTATTTTTTTATCTGATATGAAAGATTTGGTGGCATAAATGTAAACAGGTAAAGTTTAGGTGTTAGATATGTAAGTATATCAGAATTGGGTGGTATGTATGCAAATGACCATTTTAATTGGAATCACATGCTTGATTCTTTATTCCAATTCAGTTAATTGATACAAACTATGATGTTTTTGTTCATTAATTTTTAAGCTTTTTATTCCTTAAAACTCATAAACTCTCCCGTATATGTTAAGCCTCAAACTCAGAACCTTTTGTTTGGAGACAAAGCACTCAACCACTAAGGTAAGTTGACTATACTCATTCATTGTTAAGCTAGTTGTTCGGTATGTGTCTTTGCACTTCATGCATTTCTTAAGGCTTTGAGCAAAATTATATATGTTAAATAATTAAAAGTTATTTTAGTTATTATTTTTATTTACAACATGGCTACGAAGCTTTAATGTAATTCTCAGCATCTAGTGGGATTTTTTTAATTTCGTTTGTTCTTGCTTGACGTGTCAGTGTAACGATTCACTCCTAACGTTTTCTCCATTCTTTCATTGCTAAAGCTCTGAAACATTAATAGGGGCAAAACCAGCTTTATTTTTTAGAGCGGGCAAAATCACCCAATGTTTAAATTTTTACTGATACGGCTCAAATTTCAAGATAAACAATTGCCCACTCCGGACGTAACCTGGTTCCGCCCATGTACATTACTTAAACATTTTCCGTGATTTCTTCTCTTACTTCATAAATATCTCTTCCTCTTAATTGCTAAATTTCGTCTGAGTGTACTTTTCAATCCTGGAAGATAATGAATGGAAATGCAGGTATATATAGGCCAAAAGGTATTGAGGTGCCTGATCCTATACAAACAATTTGCACAAAATGGGGCGGTGATCCTTTTTCTCATGGATCTTACTCTCACATTAGAGTTCACTCATCTGGTCGAGACTATGACATTCTCGCCGAAAGTGTCGGAGGGAGCCTCTTTTTTGCTGGGGAAGCGACAAATCGGCATTATCCGGCAACAATGCACGGCGCTTTCTTGAGCGGTTTAAGAGAAGCTTCAAAAATTCTTCATACATGGCAGAGCAGAAACTCTGTGAAAAATGACCCCAAAAAGCCTTTGCCAAAGAGTTTGAGATTCTGTAGTGAAATACTTGCAGATTTGTTTAGAGAGCCTGATTTGGCATTTGGAAACTTTTTGTTTGTCTTTGATTCTTCCACAGCTGATGACCCAAAAGTAATGGGAATAATGAGGGTTGAATTTGACAACAATTTAAATCAAGGGAAAGGAGAAAGTCTACAATTACCAGAACAATGCAATCAGCACTTTCATCTTTATGTCATCTTATCGCGAGAACAAGCACTCCAGGTACGAATTGCGAACGGAGATGTTAGGAGTAGATTGTCATTAATTTGCAAAAATTTTGGTTTGAATTTGATGGGATATGATTCTACATGCTTGTTATTCAGTTCCTTTATCATTGAAATTTCTAAAGCTCGGAAAATTCGGAATAAGCTATGTCGACTCGTGCATCATATAACAAATTAGTAATAACAAATATTTGCTGTATTGAATTACATTTTTTTAAAAAACAAATTTTATTGACTTACCATGCTCCCTTGCATGGTTTGTTCTCACTGGTGAAAGATGTCCTCTGTAATATCTTGTTCTTTGGACTGATCACCTTTGTATATGTTCACTAGCCTTATAAAGCTTCATAATATTAGGTTGATTGGGAAAAGAGCATTTATTAAATGCATGCTGGAATAACACTTTTTTTATATTTTCCATATGTGCTCATCATAACTGCATATTCATATTTTGTGCTATTTAAAACTTCAATTTTATTTTTGCATTATTTTTTGGCATTTTATTCATTATTATCTTTCTAGAACAATGATTTTGCACTTGTACTTGGGCATAAGCTAGAATTCAATTAGGGGCATTTACATACATACCACACAATTCTTATATATTTAAATATCTAACACCTAAGCTTTGATATTTACATGCATACTACTCAAATGTTTAACATCACTTAAAAAATACCACTGTTATTAACTTCCTAAAAGTGAAATATGCCTTTTCATGCATGGGTTTACAATACCAAGTTGTTATAATTGTAAATATAAAACTTTAGATGTTAGATGTGCAAACACATAAGAATTGTGTTGCATGTATGTATATTTCTCATTAATATTACAAAACATTCAATAAAAATGAATGGAGAATAATTTAAAGGCTTCCCTTATAGTTGAGATAGGTCTAACATTGGTGAAAGTAATGATTGTCCTTGTGGAAAGGTAACTACTTGCATAACCTTGTATCATTTTGGTTAGTGTTTATTTTTTTAGAACAAGTATGATTGGACTCAAAGACAAAATAAATGAGTCTAGGTCAACTCAATCTAGACTTGAAATTAAGTTGCATTCTAGTCAATTCAGGTTAACTCAATAAGAGTCGATTCGAGGACAACTCAAAATGAGCTCGAGTTTAATCAAATTAATCTTATTCGATTTTAAAAAAAACCAAAAAACAAAAATAAAATGTGCATTCGTTGCATGCCTACTTTTCTAAAGCAAAGCTTATGTCAGTAATTTTTCTTGTGACTAGATGAACTATACTTTAATTAACACCAAATACAATAATTAACACCAAGCACAAAGTTCCTGGTTTGCTTTTAGCTTTTTAAGTAAATAGTATTAGATTTGAATAAATAGGTTTGATTCGATAATTTATATATTAAAATTTAAAATAACCTAAAACTTAATATTAATACTTTTCCGCACCTACAAGTAGGGGCATAAACTTTAGTTGGCAATTATGAGGTACATATTTCATTATATTTTCTTGCTTTAGTGATTTTCGACTTATGTTAAAAAAGGGAGAGATAGTCCTAGGAAGACTTGGGCTTATTGTATAAAAAATGACTTAATCAATCTATTAGAACTAAATGAAAATATGACACTAAATAGGACGCAATGGATAAAAAGGATTCATGTAGCCGACCCCACGTAGTGGCAATAGGACTCAATTGTTATTGTTGTAGTGATTTTAGATACTTTTGGGGTCCACTCCTTTAATTGTTAGTTTAGAATCTTGTTTAGCAATACATGATTTGTGTACTCTTTGCATAGAGATTGTATGTTATTTGTGAAGCGGTTGAGCATGTATGAGATAAACTCAAATGAATTCATCCTTCTAAATAATTCACGCTTCTACTTGGGAGTGTTAATTCTATATTATTCTACCTCATTTGTGCCATCATATTTGACAATAAATATGGTCCAAATATTTTTCAAATCTTAAAGGCACAAATCTTCGTATAATTATCAGGTTTTGATGCACAATATAATCAGATTACAACCTTAATATTTAGTTGTTCGAGTTCTAACTTAACGGTGGAGTCCATTTTGAAATAGGCTAGGAGTAATCTTCTCTTTAATGGTATCAAGATGGATTGATAGCCATTCAAAAATGAGACTCCATATTCACATATCAATAGATTGTAAATGCTAGATTGCATAATTTTTCAATAATGAAAAGATACATTTTTAAGAGTAGAGGTGTAAAAGAAGATTGTCCTTTATACACCACACAACCAGGAAATGCTTATCAGATATGCATTTAGATCTAATCTTATATGAAACATCAATTAAAAAGTTAATGTTTCAATACTAGTTGAAGGTTATAACACAGCCCGGACAGGGGTGAATTGGTTATTATTTTTTTCCAAAATAGATAACTAAGAAAAATTACACAATCATCTTTTGTTTGATTTGACCCAACATGACCTACATTCATGTCTACACACGCTTTGTATTTCACCAAGCAAATCACTCTTTCACCCACAAGTTTATGGAAAAGCCATTAATATTTCATTTATTGCATGATAGGGTAAGAGATCCTACACCTTAATTAGGAATAAGGGCACTTCTTAAAGCCTGAGAAATAAAAAAGAAGAAATTAAAAATTACAAAATTTAAATGTTTTGTACGATACTAGTATGATGATTTTTAGGTCATAGTACATTGAAGCACATTTTTATCCTTTGACATTCAACTCAAGCTCTTGCTTGATATGATTAGGGAGAATGATATTATTGCAATGAGATTTTTTTTTTTCTTTTGGTCTCTAATCTCTTTTAGGTTTATAATCATTGGATTTTTGGTGAATCACCTAATATAATAGAACACACAATATAGCTTATATTGTATCTCCAAAATTCGAAACCCATTAAAGAACAACTCCTAAAATATATAGCTATTGTTGTTTCAAATTAAATTAAATGAGAGATGCTAAATACTTAATGATAATCCATATGGTTTGCAAATATTTGCTAATAATTGATGATGTGCTAACTCATGTATAAGAGGTGTCCTAAGGCTTGATGATTTTATGGAAGTACATACACTTATTAATAATAATTTATCAACTTAATGAGACAAATCAACGGATTAGTGAAAATGCAAAAATAAGGTTTGTTAGTTTTAATTTTTTTTTCCATAATCATTTTGTTATTCATGACCTGACTCGATTAGAGTTCTTTCATGATTGTTTATTAACTTATCAGATATATTTGAATAATTTTTTGAATATATAGTTGATAATAAACAAGCTTGAATTAGTTGGTGTTTAAAATTAATAAGCTTATTAAGAAATTTGATTAAGACTTGATAATATATGAATCTAAGACTTTATAGTTTTTTTTTAAATATGTGATTTTGTTTGAATTATGTTCCTTTATTTATTAGATTGTTTTTGTTCACATGCACAAGTTTTTTCATTATTAAAATGCTTATTTATTTATTATATCATTCAATTAACATCTTATGTTTAAGCACATAAGACAACCCATTAATAAGCTTAATAGGATTGGTTTAGTTGACTAACAAATTACTCAAAAGTGTTACTTGTTAAGAGGCTTAAGATTTATTTGGTTAGCTAACAACCAAGAGCTCAAACGATGCCCAAATAGCCACAACCATAGATGATGCCCAAATAGCCACAACCATAGATGAATCGAGCTTGAACACTACTATAAATGCACAAATCGTGTTCAAGTTTGAACAAAGTTTTTTTCTATGAGAGATTTTATGTAAATTGATTTGATGGATCCCAAGGAAACATTGAACAAAAGCGTACATAACCAAAAGCACATAAAATACAAATAACACCAAGATTTAATGTAAAAAAAAACCTGAGAACGAAAAATAAAATGGAGCTACACTGCATCAAGAAATTCACTATGAAAAATAAGGAGAATTGTGCAAATTACATCGCACTCAGGCCTTTCTGCACATTTCAGAACTCAACGGGCACAATATCTCTCAATGAAACTGTAACAAAAAGCCTTGAATCGCTTAATTCAGTCACTGGCGGTTGGGCGCCATTGATAGGGTGCGGCGGCGCTTCACCAGGCGCTGCATTGTGAATGCTCGGGTTCTTGGACCTGTGTCGGTAGCAGTGAAGCTCCTTCTGACGTCGGCATGCTAGGTTTAGGAAAAAAATTTTGGGGACAACGCCCCTGAACCCAATGAACGTCTTGTTGACGAAATTGAGAGTTTTGAGTAACTAATTGAACACCACTATCAGACTCCACATCCTAACTATCTCTCACTTGTAAAATGATTGCAAGCAATTCCACTCCTCCAAATGTGCAACACCTTCAAGTTATGAAGAGTAGTTTTGCTTATCCTTGGTCTCAACTTTCTTGAACTCCAACTGAAGCCAAGTATAACTTCAATTTTTCAACAGTTATAACCTTAGTCAATATGTCTGTAGGATTCTGAGTTGTGTGTATCTTCTCCAAGGATAATTGACCATGTTTTAAGAGTGAATGAATGAAGTGATACATCTATTGAATGTGCTTTGTTCTGTCATAAAATGTGACATTCTTTACTAAATGAATAACATTCATTCTGTGACTATAAGTTTTTTATTTCCTTGCTTCTTGGTCAGTTTTGCAATAAAGTTTTGTGGCCAAATGATTTTAGGAAAAAATAATTACATAGCACCCAATTCTTATGGATTTACCTATCTCACACCTAAACGTCCATTTTTACATTTTACAACCTAAACGTCCATTTTTACACACATAGCACTTTACCTATGGATGAAAAGATGGATTTGACTATTGAAAAGTGATGATAAGTGCCACTTTTTATATAGTAGTTGTAATTATGAAAGTTTAGGTGTGAGATAGGTAAATATGAAAGTTTTGGGTGCTATGTATGTAAAAGCTCCATGATTGCTTGGAAGCCTTAGCGATACTAAGATACTTAGCTTCTGTAGGTGATAGTGCAACAACCTTTTGTAACTTGAAAATCCAACTCACTGTTGTGTTCCCCAAAATGAATATATAACATGTTGTACCTCTACCATCAACATCTCATATTAGATCTGAATTTATATAAGCCTATAAATCAACTCTGCATTTTTAAAGCAAAGTATTTTGTTAAATGTACCTGTCAAGTATATGAGATTCTACCTGATCGCCTCCCAATGATGTTTCTCTTGATATTTCATGTACAAACTAACCACACCCATTGTATATATAATATCTGGTATTGTACATATCATAATATACCAAACTTCCAACAGTTGAAGCATATGAGATTATTTTCTTTGTGCTTACTTTGCAGACTTTGGCGATTGTTTCTTAGATAGCCTAAACTAACTAGCTAAGGGGTGCAAATCAATTTTGCCCTACTCATGT